GATGCTTTTGATTTTTACAGGTATTCAAAAACCAAACAAAATTAAACACCTTTGGTCTAGTAATTAATTAGTTATTGTGAAAATCCCACAAACAAAAAAGATCCTTTATATGCTCCAAGAGCACCTGTGGTGTAGTCCTGTTAAATAGGCAAACAGGGCTCTGAGCTCCACTTTATTTTCTTCCAGGTTTGCTCATCAGCCCTGAGATGCTGATGGTAGAACCTGCTACTTATCTTTGCTTCTTTTTATATGTGGTCTTTATACAGGGCATGTGGCCCAAAATTATTTGCTAAATGAGTGAATGAAATTTGTAGTATGTGTAGTTTAAATGTGGAGAAACTAAAAAATAAATTTTAAAAAATAAATAATAAATTTTTTTAAAAAAGTGGGTGAACTAAAGTTTAGGTTAAGAGATTGAAGACTGGAGTCTGAGGAGGGTTTGTTTCTAAATAGTCCTTTCCCTTCATCTTTTCCAGTCTCTCTTTGTTTTTTTTTGTTTTTGTTTTTGGTCTGAGGAATTGAACCCACTAAGCCACATTTTTAGCCCTTTTATATTTTATTTTTGAGGCAGGGTCTTGCTAAGTTTCTGAGGCTGGCTTTGAACTTGTGATCCATTTGCCTCAGTCTCCCAACCCACGGGGATCAGGTGTGTGCCACCACACCTGGTTTTATCAGTCTCTTAGATGTATCTCTGCTGTAAAAAAGACACAGTAAAAATAGTAAAAATGTCTTTTTTTTTTCCCTCTTGGAACTATTGATCTTTTATGGCCCTTTTAGAATAATAATATCAAGAACCCATTCTCTGAGCACAGATTGGGTACTGGACAGTGTGCTAAACTCTATTGCACATGTGCTAAGCACTTTCTGGCTTCATTTAATACTCACAATTGAAGAGGAAGCTGTTACTAATATGTTGATTTTACAGATGAGAAAACTGAGGAACAGAGATCAGAGAGCTATTCCAATCCTTAGGGCACATTTACGAAAACACATTAGAAGGTGCTGCTGTTAGGTGGACCAACCCCTCCGCAGGATGCATGGCTTGATGAACATAGCTTATGCTGATTGTAGCTCTTACTATTCACTTGGAGCTTGGAGACTCTGAAAGGTTAAATTTCTTGTCCAGTTTCACAATCTAGTAAGTTCTTGAATTGAAAATTGAACCCAAATCTGTTTTTTTCCCCTTGAACAAACGCTTGAACAATCTGCCATTTTTTACCAGATCCAAAATTGATTTGTCTAGCACAGGGGTCAACAAACTTTTCCTGTAAAAGGCCAGAGAGTAAATACTGCAGGCTTTGCTGGGTGTCTGGTCTCTGTCACAACCAACTCAACTCTACCACATAGTACAAAAGCAGTCATAGACATTATGTAAATAAACAGCTGTGGCTGTGTTCAATAAAGCTGTGTATACCAAAATTTGAATTTCATGTGGCATATTCTTCTTTTGATTTTTTCATCTATGTAATAATGCAAAAAAAAATCTTAGCTGGGAGAGGTCTTAAAAAAATAAATGAACTTGATTTAGCCCTTGAGCTATAGTGTATTACTCCTGATATAGAATATTCCAAAGAATCCAGTAAACAGCTCTATCATCTAGTCCATGACAAAATTGTAGGCACCAATTTCTCCTCTTCTATGTCTGTTTTATTCTAATGTAGCTACTGTGACTAAATTATTTTCTAGATCCATCACAACATTCATGCAATTTTGAAACTTTGAGTGATTCCTCTTTTCTATCATTACTTTGCAAATACAGTAGTGGCCCTGATTTGTTTTTATACTTCTATAATTGTCTTGGGAGAATTTCAGTTGTGTTGGGAAAGTTTTTGATTGTATATTATAACTTTCTTTTAATAAAAAAAGGAAAAGAAATTAGATGCAGATAAAGTTAAATTTTTGTGTTTGGATGAATAGGAAATTGGTTCCTTCTATCCTAACATCAAGGCTTGAGGTTCGGCTTTGTCCCTATATAATCCTTAGAGGAGTTTTGAATCAAAGCTTTGACTGGCATCTACCTGCTGAGTCTCATGCTGGACTTCTCAGCTAACTTTCATACCCAAGTCTTCATAGACATCTGAAAATGTTACTTGTTCAGAACTCCTTTTTTGTAAGAATGCAACAAATGATCCATTGGAAGGTCATCTAACGAATGACTTTTAATTCAACACTGGCCAGTTCTCTGTACTGAACGACAGCTTTTCAGAGGTTTATATTTGACTTCTTTTCTTCAATCTCCTCGGCTATCACCCAGTTTCCTCTGACTCCAGGCTCCAGTCAGAATGGGCTTTCTCTTATTTTTACAAGAGCCACTGATTCTGCCTCCACTCCTCCCCATCCCTTCACACATCTTCAAGAGATCCTCTCAGAGCCTAACCTGCTAAGGTTAGTTTCCATTTTTACAGGTTCTCACACTGATCACACTTTTGCTGAAGGTTTCTCTCTCTCCAGTAGGCTTTGTGAGGATTTTCCCTGGTACTTGTTTAACTGCCTGGTATGTAATAAGGGCTCATCAAATATTTTTTGAATGAATGAAAAATATTTTTAACTTCCAGTAACATATATTCTATTAAGTTCAGGAAAAATGATCTTATTGTGCTGAATATTTATTAGGATTATGTTTTGACCTGAGTTCTATCAAAAGAGAAACATGTTTCAGTAAAAGTGAGAAGTTTCTAGTTTCTGCCCATGACACAGATCTGGGTGTAATTTTATCCCGCTCCATACTCTTCATCAGGCTTCTTAGTCCAGGGTTTGTAGCACTGTATCTGTTCACAGGCCTAAATTTGACATGTTTGACATTTCTTAATTTGTTTATGAAGTTATGTGAACAATGAAATTATTTCCCTTTCATATCTGACATATCCTTGCTTTGATAATGGCTCTGGCAATCAAAACAAAGGAAATGGGAAAGCTGGAATTTGTATCCAATCAATTGAGCTAATGTCTGGGACGGGTACAATCAGGAGGTGTGTCTCAGACATATATGACAAAGTTGGGTATCATTAAATTATGTGCTTCCTCTTGCTTTATTTTCTATCATGATCCAACTTAAAATAAGATCTGTAGGTCTTGAATGTGCATATTTTAATTTTAGGTTTTTTTTATATAAGGCTTTGGAATAAGTAGAGATGATAGTATTGTCATAATAAATGTATATTTTTATCTGGAGGGGCATAGTGTTTTGTCAATACTATAATAAAGGCATTTTATTTTGAGAGAAAATAAAAAATTTTACATACATCTCAGGGTCAGCCCAGTTACTTAGTATTCCAACTGGTGGCACAATTTTCTATCTTGTTCATGACATCTGAAAAAAATGAGCTAACTGCTAAATTTTAGCAGATTCATGTCCTGTAGTTGCATGTCCTTATTTCTGAAAAAGTGCAAATTCTAAGAAAGGAGGAACCAAATGTTCAGAACTCTTTTGCAACACATCAAATAACCTGGGTTCTCAGGTGGGAAAAGGCTGGTGGGGAATGCTTAGTTCCTTCTGCTTGTGAACAGTCATGGATTGGAGGCATCTTCATAAGACCTGGCATTTGAAGATGAGGTCAAGAATTTACACATTTATATATGGCATGCCACATTTTTCCATCTGCTTCAATGTCATTCTTTTCTGTTTGTCTAGATTTTAAACCTTAATATAATTAAGCCTGTGGAGAATGGCTTGATTTTTTCATGAGTATTTAGAATTATGTGTTGAAGAATGCACTGTGGGTATTTCCCTAAGCAGCCTGATATATGCTCTGGACTGTTTTCTTTGGCTTTAAGACCAGAACACTTAGATATTTTTCTGAAATTATCTATAAAAATATTACTCTTTTTTCTCTCCCTTTCGTTTTGTTCTTCCCTAAATCCTTTCTCTTAAAACCAAACAAAGCAACAAGACCAACAAAAAACCCTGAAAACCAAAACTGAACTAAAGCACAATAGGATTACTGGGAATTCCAGAGAGTGGGAAAGAGATGCTGTTCTTCTCTTGTGAACTCTCTCTATCAAAAGTAAATGCATTTGCACTTTTTTTTTTTTCAGTTGGAGTCATATTTCTTTGGGATTCATTCTCACTGTTAATAGTTTTTAAATGCCAGGCCTGGAGTATACGGTAGCAAGTTGATTAGACATAGCCTGTGATTTTCTAGCACTCACAATGAATCTTGGCAGAAAAAAGAAATGAAAAAAAAGTCATAAATCTCATAATTATATTGTGAAAAGTGCTAAGGATTAAAATATTGATAAATATGAGCTGTAGAATTAGAAGGGGTACTTTCTAGCCAGAGGATCTAAGGAAGGCCTCCTGAAGAAGTGACTTCCCCTGGACCCTGTAGGATGAATAGGTGGTGGTTAGGATGAAAGGCAGAGGCAGAGCCTAAAGCAGGTGTCTTGACTTCCGAGGTACGTGGCAGTCAGGAAGTGAAAGAACACTTGTGTGGTTCTTGTGTAGGCAGGACTTGAACCGTGATCAGAGATCATCTGATCTGCCTTGATATATATCGGCCATTTGCCAGCAATAGCTGCTGCTGTTCACTTGTTATCTACTTAGGTTTTTAAATATGCATGTTGTCTTACCATGTAAATGTACCAAGTAAACGGTGTTACATCATTATCTAGTCTGGGGAAATCCTGTCTAAGGGTAATCATGCTTGAACCGAAATAATCCTTACCTAGACACAAAAGATAGGTACCATTGTCTAACCCCAAATAGTGATTTTTTTCCCCCTACATTCTTTTATGACATTTTAAAACTGTCTGGAGCAATTTGGAAGATTTTCTATTTATTATTACCTATCATAACATAACCTAACATGTGTTAAATAAAATATAAAGGAATTTATAGAATTTAAAGGAACATACCTGAAATCTGATTGGGCATTATTATGCTTTCTGTATTACTTTCTAGTATTTCCTTAAAAAAAAAATGCATGTGGTATTTGACCCTAATTTTTGCTGGCTTTGTCTTTGCTGACCTAAGCTTTGTTTTTGTCTTTTCTCTACTTTAGTCTAACGGGATTGCAGCCATCATTGCTATTTTGGTGTTATTGTTACTCTTGGGCATGGGTTTGATGTGGTGGTTTTGGCCCCTTTGCTGCAAAGTGGTGAGTAAAAAGGATTTGCAACTCTACCCTTTTTAATTTATTTTTTTATTCAGTAAGTTGTAAATATGAATGAATGCCTCATTGTTCAGTGACAGCCAAGTTTCAATTAGTTATTTGAATTTTAATCATTTTACTGCTATAATAGATTTGGGAATGCATGCGTGTCAACATTTATTATAAAATATCACCTAAAAAAGTGTCTTAAAAATCAGGTTCATAGAAAAAAGCATTGAGAAATGTAGGAAAGTAGTTGGAATAAAAGCGTTTCCACTCAAGTACAAGAAAAATTCCAGTAAATGGGATGATTTGTTTTCTGTTGAATTCATTGAAAGCAGTTGATAATGTCAGGGTTTTGTTTTTTATTTCCTAAGGGCTTATGAATCTTTTGTTTCTTTTTTGAAGGCTCTACTCTTTCAAGAATTTTTTTTGTTTTCCCTCTGAAAAACATATTAGAAATAAGTCAAGTGCAGATGTTGAGGTATCTGTTAAACAGTCACTTTTGGAGTAATGACAGGTAGTTTCAATTTGTGTCATTTTTCATGTTTGCATAAAACCTGTGAAGGAGTGTGGGCTTGTCTTCACCCTCTATTGCTGCATGCTTGGTGACTTCAAATAACTCAAATTCATTATCTAGCAGTTGTGTAATCACAGCTCTGATGTGGGTCTCACTGGGCTGAAAGGTGTCAGCAGGGCTGCATTCCTTTCTGCACCCCTAGGGTAGAGTCCATTCACACTCCATTCTCCAGCTTCAAGAGGCTATCCACATTTCTTGCCTCTTAGAGTATTTTCTCCATCTTCAAAACCAACCATGTTTATCTCCTTGATGATTCTTTTGTATTCACATTTCCCTCTGACTCTGAACCCAGGTGGCAAAGGCCCTCCATGTTTAAGGAAGCAGGTGATTAGGTTGGACACACTTGGATAATCCAGGATCATTTTCCATCTCATGGTTCTTAACCATATCTGCAAAATCCCTTTTACCTTGTAAGGTAATTTATTCACAGGACTATGGAATTCAGTTTTGGACATCTTTGTGGCAGCATTATTCTGCCTATCCCAGGGTAATATGTTAAGTAATACATTTCAATACATTTCAAGCAATCCAATTTACACTATTCAAGTTCCATAGAAAAGATTATCCCAAGGAAGCCTTCTTTCAAAGCATGCCTCCTACTTATTTTGAGAGTGCTCCTTTTTATATGAGCACATGATATAGGACTTGATAGTATGTAGATCATGGTAGTGTTTTACATGATGTTTCTAGTCTGCCCTCCCCGTCCCGCCCACCTTTGCTGATTTCAACTTCTTTGCAATTTGAGGCAGTGCTTTGTATCACCCCTGCATTTATTATTAATTGTACTTCAGTCTGCTTTCATGAGGCAACTTTATAATTCTTTATCTCAGAGCAGTTGGCCCATGGAGGAGGCATAGAATTAACTCAGACAACATCAGAGACAAGAAGCATCCTGTCTCTTTGCTGAACTAATCAGTTTCCTGCCACAGCAATTTATGCACAGACAGTTTCCTGTTATAATCTTGATTATCCGAGATATGGCTATTTTAGGGGGGCTACCATTCTTGAATCTCAAATTAAAAAGCAAAAAGGTGCCCTAATGTGATTTGTGCTTCTTGGTTTTTTAATTTAAACTTTACAGTGTTGGTTTCCTCCCTTTATTACTTTGCAATTTCATTTACTATTGACCAGAGGACTCAGAAGTTATCAAGTTATATGACACTTTTTTTTTTAAATACATGCAAAAACGGAAATGGGCTTTTTTTGGGAGGAACTTAGATGTTCTTGTATACAGATTTTGGCCATAATTTTGGATATTATGGAGAGCACTTCATCATCAGAAAGATTATGTTCCTTCTAACCCTGAGGCCTTGCAGATTATAAATCTTGGAGTGTCCTTATGAAATGCAAAGAGAGATCCTGTTAATTGTGTATAAGATGTCAGCAAGGCTTCCTATCATCAGAAACATCATGAATTAGTGCTTTTTAATTTTGAGAGAACTACCTTTATTTTGTACCTAGGAATGTCGATTTAAAAGAAGCCAGTCCTGAATATAAGCTTATTTACACTTAGTATTCATACCTAGGTGCAAATGAATCATAGTGAATGTTTTCTTAAGTAGGTTTCAAAGCAGGGAGAAAGTAGAGGCAAAGTTCTACATTTAGCCCTTGGCAAATATGTATTAATCATCTGTTAGTGCCAGTTACTATGCTAGGAATTGGGGATACAAAAATGCATATGAGCCAAGTGTGGTAGCACCTGACTGTAATCCCAGCCACTTGGGAGGTTGAGGCAGGAAAATAGAAAGTTTGAGACCAACATGGGCAACTTAGGGATAACCTATCTCAAAATAAAAAATAAAAATGCTGGGGATGTAGCTCAGAGTCAGAATGCTTCTGGGTTCCATCCCAAGTACCATATACACATACACAAATGCCTGCGATATGGTATAGAAATTCACATTTCATGTGGAAACACAGAAATGTAGGCAAGTAAGTATTAAGGGAGGGTCACAAGTGCCTGATCACAAGATGTGTAAAGAGGAGTAAGAACACAAAGGGACTGTTTCAGAAAAACAGGACTGAGTGGATGACCCAAAACTGAGTTTTGATGACTGAGACAGTGCAAGTGGATGAGGGACATTTTGATGAAGTATGTGTGAAAAGTATGAGTTATTTTGGCATGCTTCAAAAAGGGCTAGGCTGAGATCTTGTATAAAAGGTAGGTAGTTTTGGTTTTGAGAAGAACCCAAAGGGAGGGCTTCCTGTTTCTTGTAGGTCTGAACTCATCCCAGGGATGATAAGAAACCACCAGGGAGATCTGCTCAGTAGAATCATCTGAAAGGAGCTGTGCCTACAGCAATATTGAGCTCTGGTCCTGGTGAAGTTCTGCCCAACTGAGTTCTGTCAAAAATGGAAGTGGAAAGCCAGTAACAGACAGTGCACCTTAGATGTGGCCAGAGTCTGCTTTCTCTCTCTCTCTCTCTCTCTCTCTCTCTCTCTGTTCCTTCCTCCCTTCCGCTTTTCTTCTCTCCTCCCCTATCCTTACCTTCTATTGGGGATCTAATCCAGGCCCTTGCTAATGCCCTTGCTAATACCTCTACTACTAAACCATGTCCCCAGTCCAAAGTAAAGTGTCTAACAAAGTGCCTATAGTTGGAATCTTAAACTGGAAGGGAACTAGACTAGAGAAGAATGAAGAGGCCTTTAGAAAAGAAGCGGGAAGTGAGATCATAATTTTGTGAAAAAAAAATCTTGAGTATTTCAAAAGATGTAGTACAATTAAAGGTTATTTATTTTGTTCCTTTTAGAGAATATATTTGTGCAATGCTCAAATGAGAATGTGGTCATTTAAGTAATCCTTAGTAGTATTAAATTATTATGGATTAATTTGACATTATTATGGATTAATTTGACTTGTCTATCATTACCAGAAAAATAACATTTTTAAAATATTTTTAGTTATAGATGGACACAGTGCCTTTATTTTATCTCTTATTTTTTATGAGGTGCTGAGGATCAAAACCAGTGCCTGACACATCCTAGGCAAGTGTTTTACCCCTGAGCCACAACCCCAGTCCCAGAAAAATACCTTTTTAATGGGAAATGAAATGCATTTACTTCAGCTTGTTGTTATACAGATTTCTTTTTATCTGAATGTATTTTAAGTAATAGCAGCAAATATGTGAATCAAATTTTTCTACTGAGGGGATTCAGTGGGACTGAACAGCTGAAAGAATTTGTTCTTGGGCACATTTAGAAAGTATCAGCTCCCCACCTCTGAGGGCATCATGAGCCCAGGAGCTCTGACCAAGATGGAGAACCTGGAGAAAGAGGCCTCAATGTCTATCCCATGTTCTTTATTCCTTTATTTTATATTTTATCAAATACTGAGACAAGAAACGTTAAGTCATATTTTATGAAATGATTGGACTTTTCATTGCTTGGGTATTACATTTTCATAGGTTTTAATCAATGGCTCAGTGGCATCAATGTTATTGCCTTTTGGACAGTGATTCTCAGGGTTTTGGTTTTCTGGGTTTTCTTTCTGCCTCAACAATGGAAAGGTGTCTGAGCAGTGGTGGGCAGTTTTCCAGTGATGGTGGCTCTCCCTGAGAGGAAGGGGTGAGTAGGGTGAGGCATCTCCATAAGTCACTGGAGTTTGAAAAAGAGGGGGTAAGAAGAATGAAGATACTCAAGTCTTAACCCCTGAAACCTGTGCTTGTCACTTGTGTGGCCAAAGGGTGACTAAATTGTTTTGAGATGGAGAGATTACCTGAGAGCGGGGGCTAAATGCAATCACAAGTCTTGTAAGAGGGATACAGAGGGAAAGGGGACAACAGAGGGGAGGAGGCAGTGTGTCTGTGGAGGTGCCCTTGGGAGTGATGCAGCCACCAGTCAGGGGATGCCAGCATGGGCAGAATCTGGAAGAGGCAGGGCCGATTAGTCCACCCTGGGAGTCTTTAGAAGGACCAGCTCTGCCAATAGCTGATTTCAGCCCTCAGTTCAGACTCCTGATTTCCATAACTGGAAGAAAACAAATTTCTGTTATTTGAAGCCACCAGGTTAATGATAATTTGTTATAGCAGCAACAAATGAATGTTTCTGCTATTCTCTAGAGTTGGGAAATCGCTACTTAGGCCTATAAGTTTTGGAAATTGAGATTAGAAGAGCTCTTTTTGATTTTTTTGGGGTAATTGTCAAATAAGTACACATAATGCTTTATATACTGAGAAGAATTTACTCACGTTTCCAAAGTGACCAGGAATTTTTGAATGAAACATCTTTACAATTTTCAGAAGTGTCCAAAGCATATGTGACATTTGGCATAGACTCATATGACAACAGGGATCTGTGCACAGGTTTCTCAGGGTGATAGTACTTATAAGAAGGAGCCAGTACAATTCCATTCAGATTTAGGTATTGAACCATTGAATCTCTTGAAAGCTAGAAATTGACATTCTTACCCCACAGAGAAAGATGAAGC